GATGGGAACTGGGGAAGCCTTGTCCCTGTCCCACGTTTTACCTGACAGTCCTGCCCGGCCTGGAGAATCGTATTTCGCATCATCCTCTTATTGTTGGCTGGTGAGATTTTCCCACCAGGTTTTGAGATTTTCCCACCATTTGAGATTTTCCCACCAGCTCTTGTTTAGTAGAAATTAATCGCTCAACTGAGCCTAGTGCGTATTTCCATATATCTTCTTCTGCAGACAACTTCAATGTTCAATCTGGTCTTTCTCTCACAATCTCCGCATGGAGGTGTTTCTTGCCAGAGATCAGGTTTTCGGGATATCTTTGTTTTTCGGCGTTTTCCGGTTTCCTACCCGTGACCCCCATTTCTTGCTCGTATTTAGGTGGTATAGACCCCGTGTTCCCAATCATGACAGCGCATCACGCATCCCGCGATGTTACCAACCCCTCATTCTTTGCTTTTTCGCTCGGTTTGAGGAAATCAAGGTCTCCGTGGCCATCAATTGTATACAGAACTTAAATATGGGCGTATTCCCAAAGCTTTTATGCTTATTAGGAACAAGATCAATCAATGTCTCAATTCTTGGTCAAACACAGAGCTCTCCTGCTGTGACGTGTCTTATAGACCACAGGAACCGCTGTTTTCTCACATTCCTTCTCTTACAGATTTTAGCATGGAGGATATCGCTCCCCCCCCAGATTGCCTTTACGTATCCTATGAAGAAGCCTACAATGCTCTCAAGGGCCATGGCATGCAGCATGGCTACGGCTTCCTACTCAACCGGAGTAGACCTCACAATTCCAATGTTAAGACACGATATTACTACTACTGTAATCGATCCGGAAACTATTAGTCAAGAGCAAAGAATCTGAGTACAAGCACACGCTCAATAGGGTGTCCTTTTAGGCTTAGTATATTTAAGAACAAAAGCGACGACCAGTGGAAGCTGGAGGTTCTACACAAGCATCACAACCATCCCCGGTCACTTAACCCCAGTGCGCATAATGTCTATCGCAAGCGTACATTAGCACAGAAAGACACAATTGAATCAATGACGCATGCCGGGGTACGGCCGATGTAGATAATGGCTGCTATTCAAAAGGAGGATCCAGACACCCTAGTATCTGCTACCGATATTCGCGGCGAGAGGAAGGCAATCAGAGAGAAGCACTTAAATGGGAGGAGTCCGATTAAGACATTGTTAGATGACCTGTCTACGCCGGAATGGGTCTTTACTGTCAAGAAGGATGCGGATAATCACGTACAAGGTCTCTTCTTTGCCCACCAGAAGCAGATTGAGCTACTGCTTGCAAATCCCGATATCCTGTTGATGGACTGTACGTACCGAACCAACAAGTACAAACTCCCACTGTTGCACATACTCGGCTGTACCAATCTACAGACATTCTTCTCTGCAGGGTTCTGCTTCCTCCGCAGCGAGAAAGAAGCAGATTATGTCAAAAAGAAGCTATATCTGCCCTTCTCCTAGATTCCTGGGGGGGCGTCCCTTTTGGGGATTTAGCGTAGTTGGCTAGTTTCGACAGTTATGAGCCCAATTTGCCTTAAAGCTCGATCTCTATATCAGCTTTCCCATTGAACTCAATCCGGACCGTTGTTCCTTAAAGCAACGTCCTCCTCCGACCTCTGACGGTCCTCTGACACGTCGTCGTACGAGTCTCGATTCCTACCTCTTAGGAACCGTCCTCCTACAACTCTTTTCACTATGTCTTCCTCTACCAACTCCAATCACACAGTCACTATCAAGAGCACCTTGAAGGATATCACTGACTGGATCGACTGGTACGAAGAGATCAAGAACTACGCCCAACGCATCAAAGTTTGGGACTACGTCAACCCAACCTTTGTCGAAACCCCTGCCTTAGATGGAAAGGAAGCTGTAGCGCAGCCTATCCATAAGTCTCCTACTATTCCTTCTCGTCCAACTGCAGACACGGATCTCAGCCTACAACAATGGATCTGGAAATCCTTTGACTACGAGAAAAGGGAGTACGATCTCCGTGAAACTGAACTGAAGAACCTGGCCAACGCCATCACCGCTTCTATCAGTGGTGGTATGACTCGATACATCAAGGGTAAATATCTTGCTAAGGACATGTTGGAGTCGCTCCACCGTTACGCCGCCCCACAGTCAACTCAATTGGCATCTTACCTTGAAGAAGAGTTCAACCGCTTAAAGAAGGGCAAGAAGAACCGGAATCAGTCCAATCTCGACTATGCCAACGATTGGCTTAAGTTACAAGAGAAGATTGCGTCTGTCCATGACCTTGTTGACCATCTTACGAACCGCCACATCTGCCGAGCCTTCATAGCGGCCGCTACTTCGATCGAGATGGAATTCCAGGCACACGTCTTTAATCGTATCGCTGGAAATCCGCTTAGCACTACACTGGCAGATCTACCAACACTTGTCGACTGGTTCCTTAACTTTGGAAACTTCCTTAGCAGCCAAGACTCCTTACAGAAGTTCGCCAACGCAACCCTCGGAGCTGCTGAACAACAACAACCGCAAGGAAGACAACGTGACACGAAAGTTCCGTCTAGTAACTGCTTCTGTGGAGCGAAACACTGGCTCAAGGAATGTCCCTACGTCAATTCTTCTAGACGATCTAAGGACCATTGTGAAGACCCTGCTATTGTCGAACGGTTCAAGAAGCTCCCTCAAAAATCGCTTGAGAGGATCTATAAGCAGCTCCAGAATGACAAGGTCACGGCACCGGCATGGCTCCCTCCTAATCCAAATGGCCAGCTCGTTATTCCTCCAGCACCGCAGATTCCAAAGGAGGCGAACACTATCAATGTCGCGTCAATTGATCGCCAGCCTTATGCCACCAATCGATTTATCTTTGACACTGGTGCAAACGTTCACGTCTGTCATGATATCCATCGCTTCCATGACTTCAATCCTAATGATACTGGAGCCATTCGTTTCGGTTTGGTCCTCCACCAGTATCATGGTACTGGGTCGGTCAACGTTATCTATAAGGATACTTATGGTAACAACCGGACTATGGAGCTACAGGGGGTCATCTACCTCCCCGGCTACCATATCAATATCGCAGGCGGACTGCTCTTCGACCAGATCGATATTTATCACTTTGGCAAGGATCACTCCTTACGCCATAGAAATGGTGATCACTATATTGCGAGACTCTTTAAGGAGAATCATCTTCTTTTCCTCGAATCTTCTGATAGTATCGTTCCACAACCTGCTATCTATACTACCAACTCAGCGTCGTCCTACGACATCTCTATAACCACTGCTCCGCTAGAGCAATGGCATCGACGCCTTGGTCACGCTCGTCCGGACGCTATACGCCACATGCCTGACGCTGTACAAGGTATCAGAGTTCTCTCACGCTCCTCGCCTGATAAAGACGACTCTCTGTGCGACACCTGTAACCGCGCACACGCTCCCAAGCAGATCTCACGCGTGCCACAACCACGTGGTAACGCTCCCTTTGAGAAGGTCTGCCTTGACCTGGTCTTCATGGAAAACGCCTTCAACGATGATAGGTATATCCTCCACTTCTATGAACCGTACTTGAGGTTTCACAAGGCCTTCCCTATCCACAATAAGAAACAACAGACACAAATGGCCTGCATTAAGGAATTCATCTGCTGGATCTACAACTGGGGATATCGCATCCTTACTCTCCAGCTCGACAACGAGACAGCCCTTAGCGATGATTTTTCCAAGTTCTGCCGCGACGCTGGAATCGAGGTCATACACTCCGCTCCAGGCACACACGACCAGAACGGTTTCGCAGAACGTTCTGGGGGGGTGCTGGTAACTATGTCTCGCAAAATCTGCATCGAGTTTAAACTACCGAAGTCTCTCTGGCCTGAATTTGTCGCCCATGCCGAGTATCTGCTCAATCGGACTCCCTTCAAGCACCCTACTCTTGAAAAGTTCATTACCCCTTTTGAGATCATTGCGAAGAGGAAGCCAAACCTCTCCCACCTCCGCATCATTGGATCTAAGGCTTTCGTACGCAAAGAGAACGCAAAGAAGGATAAGATGGAAGAACGCGCCAATATAGGTTTCCTGACTGGCTACTCTGCCTCAAACATCTATCGTATCTGGGTTCCTTCGCTAAATCGCATCCTCGATAGCCGAGACGTCAGGATCGATGAATCCATTCAGTACGATCCAGTCCTCCACGCTACCCAGTCTCCTTCTTCAGACCCGGATATCCAACGGCTTGAGGTTATAGTTCCTCGCTTTAATACGGAACTTTCTCCTATTCCAGATGATGATTCCCTTGACCCTGCGCACAACGGCATCCAACCCAAAGACCTTGACAGCCTATTGTCTCCACTTCCACAGACAAGCTCTAAGGTCCAACAACATCAATCTAGTCCTCCAGGGCAACTTGCTACGCCTGATATAACACCTGAACCGGACTCTAACCAATCGTCCAGTCATCAGGCACTTCTGCCTCTTAACGTCAATCCTCAGGGAGGAATCCAGAGTGATTCCGCTTCCCCCACAAATACAGGTTTCGAAGACACCTCACCAGATCTTCAGCTTATCGAGGAAACTCTCCAGTCCCGCCGGGTCTCTTCTCCAGCATCGCAGGATACACCCGCAACTGGTTCCTCTACTTCAACACCGTCAGTCTCTGCGCCTCCAACGCGCAAGAACACACATACCTCCGTTGCCTCTTCTTCGGCACAGCAGCCTACCACGCGCCAGTCTCGCTCCACTACTGCTCAAAAAGAGACCACCGCACTGCAAAACCTTCGCTCCACTAGATCTGGAAGGAATATCACTCTCTCCTCTAAAGCACGCGATCTCCAAGGCAACAGTGCCGTCTTATCTAAAGATGACCTTCTCAAAAACGCAATCCATGCTTTCTCCGTCGCAGTCGCCAAAGCTATTCTAGTTTCTGACATGCCTCGTGAACCCCAACACTGGTCCGATATGAAACACCACTTCTACAGCGCCGAATGGTTCCAGGCAGCCAAGATTGAGATTGCAAAGCTTATCGAGATGGGAACACTTGTTGAGGTTGATATCCCTACAGGCCAACAGGTCCTTCCTGTCCGCTGGGTCTTCAAATATAAGCAGGATCAGAACGGATTCTTCACTAAGTTCAAAGCTCGCCTCTGTATTCGCGGAGACCTTCAATTCATCCAGAATCGAGACGATCTTTACGCTGCCGCTGGCGCGTACTCCACCTTCCGCGTCCTAATGGCTCTTATGGCCGCCTTTGACCTTGAATGCGTTGCCGCTGATGTTACGAATGCATTCGCCAATGCGATTCAAGACAGCGAGGTCTACATCCGTTGCCCCGAAGGCTTTGGTCATAAACGACGCTGCTTCCTCGTCAAGAGAGCCCTCTACGGACTCCGCAAGTCCCCAAAGCTATGGTTCGAAACCATCTCTGAGTTCCTCTCTACCCTCGGTTTTACAGCAATCACCGAGGACCCCTGCGTATTCATGTCCCCATCACTTATTATCTTTGTCTACGTTGACGATATCCTCGTATTCGGCTCAAAGTTGAATCGTCCACTGATCGATGAGTTTTTCCGTAAACTTACCGCACGATTCGAGTCCCGGCTTCTCGGTGATATCGAGGTTTTCCTAGGCATCCGCATCGTCCGTGATCGTGCCCAACGGAAAGTCTGGCTCTGTCAAGATGCCTACGTTGATAAGATGGTCAATAAGTTCCATCGGGAAGAGGCTGCACCTGTAAATTCACCCCTTTCCCACGACTTCTCCGATCAACGATACGAAGGAACCGCATCCGCTCGTTCTATCCAAGGGCACCAGCAGAAGGTTGGATCTCTTGTATATGCCGCTGTGACCACACGCCCTGATATCGCCCTTGCGGTATCCAAGCTTTCTCGTCACAACCTCAATCCGTCTTCAAGGCATATAGAGGAGGCTGATCGCTGTATCGCCTACCTAAAGACGACGAAATTCTACGCGCTTGAATACTCCGGAACTTCACAACCTCCTCTAGATGCTATGTCGCTTCCCGTTCAAGCTGCATCTGACGCATCCTTCGCTGATGATCCAGAGACTCGAAAGTCTTCTAATGGATACATCATTTTCCTATTCAACGGCCCCGTTTGTTGGCAATCCGCACGTCAGACCGTGGTTACGACCTCTACCACTGAAGCTGAGCTCCTTGCCCTCTCCTGGGCTGCACGCGAAGTGATCGCGATGAATCGTCTCTTCAGTCAACTTAGATTTGATCCAGAACAAGAGCTCACGATTCAATGTGACAATAAGCAGACCGTTGGTATCGTCACTAAACCAACTCCTTTGCTCACTTCACGCCTCCGTCACGTTTATATCCATCAGTTCTGGCTACGTCAAGAAGTTCAGACCGGTGATCTC